AAAAAAAAAAAAAAAACTTTTCTTTTGTGACTCTGAAAACCGATATTCATTAACAAAAGTAAATAATAAGTACTTATTCTAGTCGATGTTCATTCATTATGGGATGCGACAAGTCGTGGTTTCTTTTCTAACTTTTCTCAGAATCTGTTACTTGTTTAATGCAATATTGTGAACTTAATTTTCATATGCACATAAACCTAACTTCGCTCATGCATGAGACTAACATGTACTAATTCCCCACCACTCGATAAAGTATATATTTATTTTTCCAGCGTTTCCTTCCTTGTACAAGTAAAAGTTTATTCACACCATATTTAGTAAATGCTTTTACCATACCTGAAGGCAATATGTTTTAATTCACACCACTCACTGTGTAACAAGGCACTCTAGCAGCTAGAGAAGGGTAGGAGTGCATGTAAGTCATACTGAGCAGTTACAAGAAAGTAGAGAGGAGCAGACATTGTGTGTGGCATCTTCAAAAATGATAAATGGATAAGAACCTATAGAAAAATGGTAAATTTTTACTATGGTAAAAAAGAATGCACACTGACATTCAGTCAACAAAGCAGCAGGAAACATTTTAAATGTATTTTGTATCTGTCAAGTCCGTTCAAAATTCCTGATAGAAATGCATGGTATACAGAAGATAATAGTGTTGAAAAAGACAGAGAAAAAGAAATGTCATGAAAGCCCAATACAAACCAGAGGATCTCACAGGAGCTGTAACTCTTCGCATCATTTCACGAAGACTAACTGAACGTGAGCCCAACGCATTAGTGATGACATTAATTGATTCCAGACCAGAACTGTTACTGCCAGTACCGCCTTCTGAGGACAATAAATGAGTCAGTTCCGTCATACTTATCTGAAATTTTAAAACTTTTCAGTGAAACAATAACTCACCATGGTCACCTTCCTTGTTTGATGTAGGAGAGCACATGGTAACACAAGCATGGAATACATTTCTATTTCCATCACACCTCTCATTCAGAACAGCTTGTAAAGTGTTACTACTTGAGGTGGCTTCTGAAAACATAAAAAAACATTGTATTTTCTTATCTTGAATTTCATATTCTATACTTAAAAAATAAATAATCCTTTTTATTATTTAAAAAAAAAATTTATTAACTTACTTGTATCATGTTCCAATGAGGCAAGGACTTGTTTTACACCATCTAGATCACACCTAAGAATACGTGGCATTAACAATTGACTTTCAATAGCTAGGACAAGCAGGGCAACTTGACTCTTCAGATTGTTTGCTACATTTCCACTGCCTTGTGAAGCTGAAGTGGCCCCACCACTACCTCCTCCCAATGAATGTGTCCCTGCTCCTACACATCGTACTGGTGGAAGGTCTAGCCAATGAGGATCACGAATACTATCCACACAGTCCTTAGCCAGGGGATAAATTGTGCTGTTTCCATCTCTTAGGAGTAATACACTTTCATTTGCCTAAAATAGAAATCATTGAAGATACATGATTTTCTAGGATTTTATACCCAAGAAATGCAAACTGAATACTGACAACGCAGTGTACAAACATGCATTCACCCCAAAAATATAATCCTTACCTCACCAGCACCAATTAGATTAATATTTTGAGGTTCAAGACCCAGAAAAGATGATGTATCTGAAGGAAATGGGCTATCTTGTTCAACACGCCCACTACTCAGGTTAAACACTACATAACTGAGTTTGGTTCCAGATTTCACAATAGCATGAATGCCTAAAAGAAAAACCATTCATTTAATAAGAATAAAATTATATTCAATAGAAGAAAGAAGGAGAAAAAAAAAGTTACAAAAATTATTTACATATTTTTAAGAAAACAAACGTTTACAACATTAAACACTTAATTTTGTTCATTTTTAAATTCATACATAAACATCTGAGAATTCATCACTGCACTGGCACTCTGCACAAAAATTGAAACACAAGCCACATTTATAATTAAATAAGTGAAATACCTTGTCCATCAACCGTTATTGTAAGAATTTGACCACCTTCTGATATATTGACACGACGAGGGATACGTTGAAAACAATCAGGAGCCCGAGATGTGGTGCCAGATTTTATTACCTAAAATAAATACACAAATTAAATTTTTTTAAAAATAATTTTCATGTAATATAAAAATTGCAATACAAAGCTTATATTACATTGAAACTTTCAAATATAAAAATTTAATGTTAATATATAGTAATAACCTGAAGCTCATCTTTACGCATCAATCGACAGTCTTGAAGTAAACTAATTGTATCTTCTGACGATAGATCTTTCAAGTCCTTAGTGTCCTTATTAGTAGGGAAACGAACTGCCACATGTGCACCATCAACTTTCAGAACACGGCCTAGAAAACCATTTTAGAGAATAGAATACTAATTTATAAGACAAACAACAATGAAAAGAGTAAATTAACAATGAAATACTCACCGACAGGGACACTCTTCACATCTTCTACAAAAACTACATCCTTCAATGGCCACTCTTCTTCATCTTTTTTCTCCTGTTCTTCACCTTTGGGTGCAGGGCGTTTCTGGCGTTCTGCAGAAAAAAATTGTTGAAGCATTGTAAGTATGACATCCCTAATACAGTTAAAACATCTAAACAATACACAAACATTCATTGCATTTATTTATTTACATCCTACAATATGGTATAAGATTAGCTAATAATACATTCAGTAAAACTTACTTAAATGTTTTTCAGGAGACTGAAGGAAAAATTGTAGAAGTAAGAAAAACTCTTAACAGAAAATGAAAATCTAGGTGCAAAATAAAAACTATACTTTGACATAACTGTTGTTAGAAAATAATAAGTGTATAATGCTCTCAATACATAACATTTTCAGGAAAGAAAGTTCTCACTTGTGAGAAGAGTCTGATCTTAGATCATTTGTTGTTTTTTTGTGCATAAAATGAAAATTTCCCCTCTGAAAATGTGACATTACTTGATTCCCACATACTTCGGACAAACAGGTCAATGCTTACTGTGTCATGTTAACTAATATTACTTAAAGCCAAACCAGGCAACAAATTAATACAACGAAAAACCATACAGGCAGTACGTGAAAACACTGGCAGGCTTGCCTAACAAAAACACTAAACAACCTGAACCTGAACCAAACACTTATTCCGTGGGTTCATCTAGGATGACAATCTCTCTCACTTACTGGTCATCTGTATTGGTACGTATATAATCAGGACTTTTATTGGGGACGTATAAACAGGATGAAAGAATAAACATAAATTGCATATCTGAAATAATTTAACATGGGAAGTTTAAGACTTATAAACTATGCACTAACTAGGTAAACACACAAGTGCAAAACATGTAAATGGAGTTTTACTGTATCTCATTATGATCAACACCATACATTGTGTTATGTACTCATACTTACTGTGACTAGTAGTGATACTGCCTGTATCACTGCAAGTGCTGGATGCTGGAGATGGGGGAGGAGGCATATCCATACGATCTGATGCCTCTTTGTGGCTGCTCTTCACATTACTAGCACCACTGCTTCCAGGAGCAGATAAAGGACCTGCACTGGACGAACTACTGCCTGAACTACTATTGGAATTTTCACCTCTTCTGTGTTCATTGCTGCCACTGTGGTGGTGGTGGTGATGATGGTGATGCCCAGCAGGCGGTGCTGTCAGAACTTTGAATCGGCATGTGTCTGTGAGATTCCATGCAGCATTTAAGAGCTGTCCAACCTTTGGCACCCCATTTGAAATTGTGAAGCCTAGAAAAAAGTAAAATAATCAAAGTGTACAATAATTACCCACATAAATAATGCATTTTTAAAAATTTTCTAATCATTTCATGATATTAATAAAAAATCTAACTCACCAATGGCTCCAGGTTGATACATGGGACTGTTCTTCATGCACACCTGACTACCACACACAATGTCTGCAGTGGAAGTAGATGGCCGGTGTTTACGAGATTTGGCTCTGTGTTTTTCCCATAATCTTTTCCGTTGAGGAAATGGCAACACTCCCCTAAAAATTATTTCATCAATCATGTTTTCCAAAGATACAAAATAATTGCTGATTTCAGAGAACCATATTCAATCAGTAAATAGGTGTTGGGAGAGACTGTTTTAAACTTCATCTTCTGGATATCCATTTACTCAGAGGAATTAGAATCAGGACATAAAACTAATTGGCAAAAACAGCATATACATTCTCACATTATTTCTAATTTTTTGCAATTTCAGAAAATTCAGTTCAGAGTTCAATGAAAATGAGAAAGCTGCTATTCCTTTAAATGTTCTTTGTTCTATCTGTAAAAAAAATTAGGAGCTATTTTTAAGAATTTTTTTATAAATCATAGTAATTTCAAGTAGAAATTTCATGGAAACTGCTTGTTCTTTCGATGTTTATGACCCTGTTTTGAAGATTGATTTTTTTAAACATTTTATTTTTTACTATTTTATCTCTAGTCTATAACTTACTTTTACACTTAATTTTTTTACAATTTTCAAAAATACACTGTTTTCCAATAATGGGACCAGCATCTCTTTTTATTATAATTTGCAGCAATTTTTAAAATATTGTAAAGATGCCTATACACACAATCACATGAAAATTGTGTATATACACAATTACATGAAAACTACTAAAATTTTCAAAAAAAAATGTACTTGACTGTATCAGATCTGTCTTTGAACCACAAATTTTCTTAAGGAAAATAATCACTCTCTTTAATACTGTAGTTGTAGAAAGACGTAGAAAAGATTTTCAAGTTCTGCAATTTTCGGAAAATCAGGTATTTTAAGCAAAATGAGACCTGCGCTACTTCAAAAAATTCTTTACGCAATTTGAGGGCAAAATTTAATCAAAAAACTTGGGAGACATTTTTGAGAAAATTTTGAAAATTATGTTGATGTGAAATGTTCCTAAAAATCGAAATATCTATTTCAACATTCAGAGCCTTAAGTTCAGATCAATTCAGGGAATATCAATTATGGAGAAAATTGCCTAACCATTCAAGCACTAGCATTTACTAGACAAGCTGTTTTGCTGTCTATCAATTTTTTGTTATCAAGGACTGAAGAGCATGTACCTATATAACAAGTTAACGAAAGTAATTTCCTACATGTAAGAACAAGGTTTATGCATGTTGTTACTATGGCCCAGGAATAAGACATTTTATATTTAAAAAAAATCACCGATTTCAAGCACACAATTACAATATTTCCTCTCCTAAAGAGGCAAGGCGAGAAAGTAACAATGAAGGAGAGGAGGGGACTTTTGTATGTGGAAAGCGATTTAATATTACTGAGTAATTTTTCTAAGAAAACACCAGAAGTAACACTTCCCAAAATTCAGTATTATTTCTCTGAACAACTGTTTAAGCAATATGTCTAATGATTTGTTCTAGAAAACTACTGACACATTTCCACTTACTTGAAAACACCCATTTCCTAGAACTACTGCAGCTATCATCATCATCATCATTATTTAATAAATAAATGAGGGCACAAATATCTGAGGTTCAAAAGGCTTAAAATGCTACTTTTTTCAAATTTTGGAATTTCATAAGGAAAAAGGATAGTAAATATCTTAGAAAATGGATCGTGGGTTCACAAAGTCAAATAACACACACGTTAATAACATACAGTGAGCTTGCTACAGATCGTTTCACTAAACTTAAGCAATGAGCGTTTTCCTTTTTATTGAGTTTAAGTTTCGTATTTTATTTAATTTGCATGGGATTGCAAACAGGCTATGCCTAATGCGATTACAATCGTTATGGTAAAATGATATCCTAATTTTTCCATCCTTTAATAAATAAAAATAGTTTGTCACGTCAAAGACAATAGAAAAAAATCACTCTGTAGGAAATTCTTAGATTTAAACACCCCTAACACTCCATTCCATTCACTCAAGAACACTTATTTACTTACAACTACCCTAAATTTCTTACTCACCACCAGTATAGTGCACCACTTTCAAGACGAGCCACAGTATACAAAGTGCATGTGTGTAAAGAAGCAATGCGATCTACAGAAAATTCTGAGAAGCTTTGAGCTGCATGTTCCAGTTTTCCTGCACCTGCAGCATGGCTCAAGAGTTCGTCAAGCCATGTAGCAACTTTTCCACTTTCAGTCGCCACTGAACATCGAATTACAGTGGCTGATAGCTGCACAACTCTTTCAGAGAGTAGCCCCAAGGCCAATGTCTTTGGATGATGAATGTTACTATTCTGAAAGTTGAAAGACAATTTAGAATAAACCACCAATGGCAGAATAAATAAATAAATAAATAATAATAAAGAGAAAAAAAAGGAGATAAAAATAAAAAAGAAGGAAGAAAAAACAATGGAATAATAAAATGTTCAATGTGCAGCCATACCTCTAAATGCTTGTAAGGTTCTGCTTCATTCCATTTCCATTGATACAACTGACCAGAAGCAGTAACAGCAACCAGTTCACTGTGTAACGCTGCAATGAGTGTGAACTGCGGAAGTGGTTCTGAACCTCTTTCAGGCCAAAATTCTAACTCGTCTGACATCCATAAAGGACTCTGAGCAGCGAAGTCCTTTTTCTTATTCTCTGTACAAAAAATTTCAACATTACTTGCCTACCATACAAATTTAACAATTTTGGATAACTGTTCTATGCATTTAATGAGTGGTATGAATTCAGAATATTCTTCAATCAATGGCTATTTGCTCAAGTTTGTATAAATAAAAATATTCTCTGAGTGATGAGTAGATTCTCACGGCCAATTGAGAATATTCTCAGTTTTCAGTACAGCTGATGGGATTTTGTTCCAATACATGCTGTTCTACAACTTGTTTTAACTTATCTTCTTTATGGGCTGCCAGTGCTGTAATTTATCAAATTACCATTGTTGCAGTGCAGCAAATAAGCAAGACATAGGAATTGTTAATTTTTAATAATTCATATGTCAGAACTTTTACATAATCTAGAGTCTTGCAGGTAACATTTGTGCCAGCTGTCCTATTCACATTTATGCTTGAATACCCATTTCTATTAATACATTCATGACCAAATATTGTACTTTTTAAATATGAATATGTGTATGAACCATGGTGCAGGTAGAGGAAATGAACATATATTTGTTCTGACACCAATTTTTTTTATATGTAAAGGTCCTGAATTCTATTATGGTGTAAATTTAATTCATTTGGGCAATTTCTATTACACAATGCATAACCTCAACAACTGTTTTTGTAAATGTTGTCTGTCTGGAAAATGCACAACTCTCCACAAACACCTCCCTGAACAGATCAACGTTACCAACTCACAAAAATATAGTTCCATTGTTTCGTATGAATGAGGGCCACATCTAGTTTCTATCTTGCCTCAACTGAAAACAAGCATTGCGATGAATTTATCATTTCTCTCTGGAAAACTGTAACAAACTCATTCTATCCTGTCGCCAAACATCTTTAACAGTTTTTTATACCGAAGATACTCAAATATAACCTTATAAACAAATATTACCCATACCCTAATTTCCCAGTAAGGAATTTTGAAAACATACTTTTTCACATTTTTTAAGTTTAACCAAAAAAAATTCTGTCCTTGAAAGGTCTGCCAATCAACACTGGTTAGTGTGTGATTTTTATAAAGCTTTGCCTTAAGGCCCAACTTCACAGTGGCATTATGACAGGGATTTCACATCTTTTTCGGTCATACTGCTAGATGCCGCAATCCCATCAAGTACCACTTGATACGATCGTGATCACATGACATCTAATGGCATGACCGAGAAAGACATGAAACGCCGTGATATGTTCCATCGTGAAGACAGGGCCAAGTTATAAAAACCGTAGTATAACCCATGCTGCCATGTGACCAAGTGTAACATGCCTCAAATTCGTGGTACCGCCACTGACTCAAATATGCCCCTTAATTTTCAGCCCACAATTTAAAAAAAAATATATATACATGTTATATTTCAGTATATACGGTATTATTTATGAACAAAGCCATTTCTTGGTAGATTCCTACTTACAACAAGGGTATGTTGACTTCACATTTAAAAATGAGGCACCTCTAGACCAAACTCAAAACTATCTAATGATATGCTCACAAAAGGAGTAAATTCTTCATTTTTATTCATGTGGATGTGAGCACATGCTCTACAGAGCCTAGGAATGTAAGTATTTTCTCAAGTTCAAGAATTTACTCATTTTTGAGAATATTCCCGAAATGTTTATTCATATGCTACCAAGCATCAGCTAGGAAAAAAAGTGAATAGCACATACTCGTTTTTATTTGTACAATCCACTGCCTTCATTATAATGAAAGTAGAATTTCCACATAGTTCCACTCTCATAGTGTATTTTGAGGAAACCTCAAAAAAAATATTAGGGCTCTAGGATTGGTAGATTAGTAAAAAAGTTGTTATTACTAAATAGAATGTAATAAAATATTCATAATTGAAAAATAAATTAATCCAAGATCACGTTAAATCTGTAACAGCTTTTATTATCCCATTACAAAAAAAAATGCATGATGCACTACCCTTCCTACCTGGATCTTTATCCCAAGCAGAATCACGTAAAGCTGATTCAAGCCAACGTCTTGGGCCATAGTACTGTCGTTCACGCCATCTGCTGAAGCTGTCTCTATCACGTTCACGGTCTGTGTCACGGTCTCTGTCCCTCTCAGCTGTTAAGCGCCTGCTGCTTGAGCTTCCACGACTGAAAAGAAATATAGAACATGTTAAAGGCTTACCCTCCACTATGTTGTAAAATTGAGGTTGAAGATGGGAGATTCTACAAGAAGCTTCAAAAGAAGGGTTATGAAACAATAACCCCAGGTCTCAGTTCTAATGAAGAGATTTTATGACTTGTTCCCTTACGTGTAAATAAGTAAACTCACAGGAACTGTGACCTATTGAAAAAAATCAAAGAAAAGACAGTTTTGGTCTGAAACAATTTGAAAATGAAGCCATCCACCCCTTAAACAATTTCCAACTGAGCAGCAGTCACGGAATAACAAAAACAAACTAACATTTAATTCCTCTCATCAAAACATTTTTTGAAATGAATGTAGGTTGTTGGGAGATTTCAACTTTAAGAAATTAATTTTGGAATGAAGGTAAATTTAACATTAAAAACCAACACTATTTCTGAATTATTTACTCACTTCCTCATAGCTGAATAGCCAAACATGTCCTCAGAAAACATAGTGTCAGCATCAATGATTACAGAATGGTCAGCATGAAATCCTCCATCGAGAAGAGATATCAAATCCTCTGGTACATAAGAATCAGGGGCATCATCAGCATCATCACCCTCTTCATCATCACGGCTTAGCAGGTTATTCACGGCAAGATTAACATCCAAGTTTGTGCGCTGCAGAAAGTATGTTTAGTTAAGATGTGATAAATCGTTGTTAATCACATTTATACATTTAATTATAAATACCTATGTGCAATCAACTACAGTACCAAACTTACCAATTTGTGAACAATATGTTCATAACGAATAAAATGAAATACACAAAACTGCCTATCATTTTCTAGAAATTAATATCGCCATTGATTAAATTAAGACATCTTTCACACTAGAAATGTTAATATGCCCTATGGAAAGACATTTCATTGCAACATTAGCATTTAAATAACACCCAGAAACTAAATAAGATAAAGGATCTGCAACAATACAGCTTCAGAAATAAAAATCAGAAAATTCCTCAAAGAAATCTGGACAACCCCAAACCCACACAAAAGGATATGCCAACCAGAGTGTTTAACTAACTTTTAGTTTCCTAGTCATCGTATACAATTTACTTTAACAAAGCATACGAATCAAGTACCTGTAGTTCTCTGATAATCAGATTCCTGCTTTTTCCTTGTAAAACAACTTGAGCCTGTGTAACCAGTTCTTCAGGTACATAAGGTGCTGGGACGATAGGTCTAGCACTACCTGCCCCGCCAGCACCACTGGCTCCCATGATAACACCAGGAGCCCCTCTGCCACCAGAGCCAGCTCCAGCTCCTCTGAGGGTTGAGTTGGAGCGCATGATACGAGCCCTGCTCCGCTGCAGCTGCCGACCACTGGAACCAGAGCTGGCACCACCACTGCCCCCAGCTCCGCTGGCTTTGCCACCACCACTGCCTCCTGCACCACTGCTGTAAATAAATTAAAGAATACTTCCACTTTTTTTTTTGAACCCACAAACTTCTCTAGTATTTCATTTATTGTTTATGTGCGAGAACGAGCGAGCGAGGGGGAACGATAAGGGGGAATAAGTGAGAACGAGTGAGGGTGGATGAGCAAATGAGTAAGTTTCCAATGCTCGAGTCTGAGCTAGCTTATCCATTTTCCCCCATCCCCTTTCCAACTACCTATCAACTTATACAAGGCCCCTTGAAGTACCTACTATTCCTCTGGGGGCATTCCTAGATACGAGCACCAAGCTCTTGGAACATCAGGTAGACTTATATCAGTCCTGTACCCTATTTGGCCCATGGTAAACCTTGGCCCCATCTTAGTGGTTGTATTATTCTTCTGAGTCTAGGAATTCTGTTGCTCAATTGCACACATCTTACAGTTACCAATATGGCCAAGAGATTATGGAAGGTTTGGGGGAAAGATGTAATACATGAGGGACTCAGAATGCCACACATATGACAACCACAACATTAACGCCTTATGTGGATTTCAAACTCACAGCATTAGAGGACATGAACTTGGGCTCATCTGGCCCGCCTCAAAAGGTCAAATCACTTGACTGTGTAATTTGTAAACTTGATACAGTAATTTTATTTTATCAATAAACAGACTTAAGTTTAATACAGAACGTTTTATACAGTAGTAGAAGATAGCTCCAGCAAGGGAAAAATATAAATAACAGTTTACATATTCATATGAAGTAATTAAATTATAGCTTAATCAATAATCACAGCAACAAGAGATTAATTTGTGGAGTACCAAAAACACAATTTTACAAAAGAATATTATACTTATAAAAGTACAATATATTTTATTATCTCAGTGAACCCATTCGGACTCAAATCTACTTCGTCAGTGTTATAATGGTTGACAAGTTTTATTTATTCATTTCTTATTAATTATAAATAAAATTATATAACAATTTGATTAAATTATTCATATAATTACAACTGACACAGGGATAAGTATTACTACGAACCGACTACTTGGCCTGCGTAGGTGGACACACATGATCTCAACAATGGAATACCCACGAAGTTCTATGCCTTGACTTTTATAAAGCCTTTGGTGAAGTCCCTCATGGATGATTATTGTTCAAATCAAGCACGTAAGAAGGAAATTGTTCCCCTTTATACAAGTCTTCTTGGAGAGAAGAGAGTTCAGGTTGAAAATAAAGTGACATTTCTGTCCAGAACAGAAGCAAGTGGAGTTCCATACGGATCAGTCCTCAGCCCAATCTTATTCATCTTTTATACTAGTTACCTACCTTACACTAAGTCGAAATCCCTTTCGTATGCAGATGACACAATGATCTTTAACAACCAGAGTGTTAACAGATCTGCAGGATCTTGACGAGATATACAACTGAAGCAAACTTATAATTCAGCTGAATGAGAAAAAATGTTATGCACATAGGCACAAATAATCCCCAATGCCTATACATGACTAGCGACATGCAGTGGTATCAACAAAATCTACACAGGACCAGAGTATCATGGTGATATCAAACCTGAAGTGGGAATGCCACATGAACTACATCGTAAGAAAAGCAAATACAGCACTAATCCTGAACACAGCATTTAAGGCATTGAACAATATCACCTTTTTCCAACTTAGCAAAGAACATAGACCTCCTGCCGAGAGCACCCAGAAAGGCTACACACATTCCAGTTACACTGAGAAGTCTTCCGTACAAATGAGTTCAACAACAAATGCATTCAATGGAACTCATCAATAGAGCACATATAAAAACCATGATCTGCCACAGACTGTTCTAGAATCAAGAACTATTGAGGAATTAAAGCAAAGATATGATGCTTTTATAAACACACACAAAATGGTGGACGGCAATGAATGAAAGCTGCGATGGTGAAACTGAGTAATTCAGGATGAGCCAACCTAGATACACCACATCAACTTCGTTTCAAGGACACAGAGAATAATGATGGTGGATATTGTGTTTTTGGCTACTGATATTTACTATTTCACTATTATATCACTGACATTACTATTTTACACTACTAATATTTACTATTATGCTTGTGTATATTATATATTTACACTGATTCAGGCATAAACAGAAGATTTCTTGTCAATTTTTCATAAAAGCATAATGGAAAGCGGTCTGTAGTTGATGTGAAACCTGTATATATTTCATTAATTTAGGGCAGAAATTAAGCAAAAACTACTATTTTTTCCCAAAAAATTGTCCATGACCTTTTTTGAGGAGCACATTTTGAATAAGACTTTGTCTGGCACAAAAATTTCTATCTCGAATTTTGAAGTTGTTCCAGGGGCTTCATGTAAAGTATCCCCCAAAATTAAAATTTCGGTTACAAATTCATGGGTCAGCGACATCAGCTTGAACAATTGGGGAAAATCAATTTTAGAGAAAATCGACAAAACAGTTTATGCGCTAGCGTTGTGTACAGATGAGCAGGTAGACATACAGACGCATTGCAGTCAATCAAGTTTTAGCTATTAAGAATGCACAAAACACAGATTCTGGCAACATGTTGGAGGACTTTTTCTATATTTAGCAACTGTATTTATCCACTTTTTCTTCAGCAGGGCCTTGCAATAAGCTTTTTTGTGTCTAAGTCGCCGTTTTCCGGCACACAATTACAATACTCTCTCTTATTAGGCTATTAAGTGCGAGAAAGTAAAAAAAAGTAAACAAGGGTAATATTTCATAAATATGTGGCATCAACCAACTCCATCTGAAGAATAACTCAGTTGTAAGAGAGGAATCAAAAAATTTGCAATTTTTGAAAATTTAAAGTTAGCACATCAACCTACACCACCTTCACAGGGAATTTAATGTTACAAAAATATTTGAACTAATTTTTAAGAGAACTGTTCAAAGGATTTCATATGAAGTATGACGAGAAAGAAGAGGAGGGGGAAGGGAATAGGGAGGAGGAGGAGGAGAAGAAAGAGGAGAAGAAGGAGGAGGAGGAGAAGAAAGAGGAGGAGGGAGGCGGAGGAAGGGGAGAGAAAGCGGAGGAGAAGAAGAGGAGAAGAAGGAGGAGAGAGAAGAAGAGGAGGAGGAGGAAGAGGTAGAAGAGAAGAGGAGGAAAGAAAAAGGAGGGAGACAAGAAGGAGAGGAAAGAAGAGAAGAGGAGGAGGAAGAAAGAAAGAGGGGAGGAGGAGGAGAGAGAAGAAAGAGGAGGAGGAGAGAGGAGAGAGAAGAAGAGGAGGAGGGGAGGAGAAGAAGAAAGAGGAGGAGGAGGAGGAGGAGAAGAAGAAAGAGGAGGAGGAAGGGAGGAGAAGGAAGAAAGGGGAGGAGGAGGAGGAGGAGAAAAAGAGGAGGAGGAGGGAGAAGAAGAAGAAGGAGGAGGAGAGGAGAAGAGAAGGAGGAGGAGAAGGAGGAGGAGAGAAGGAGAGAGGAGAAGAAGAAAGGGAGGTGGAGAAGAAGGAGGAGGGGGAGAAGAAAGAGGAGGTTGGAAGAAGGAGGAGGAGAGAAGAGGAGGAGAAGAAGAAAGAGAGCTGGAGAAGGAGGAGGAGGAGAAGAAGAGGGAAGAAGAAAGAGGAGGTGGAAAAAAAAGGAAGGAAAGGGAGGGATGAGGGGAGAGGAGAAGAAGGAGGAGAGAAGAAGAGAGTGAGAAGAGAGGAGGTGTAGAGAGGAGGAGAGAAGAAGAAGGAGGGAGAGGATAGAAGGGAGGAGGAGAAAAGGAGAAAGAGAAGGAGGAGGAAACGAAAGAGGAGGAGGAGAAGAAGAGAAGGAGGAGGAAAAGAAAGAGGAGGAGAAGAAGGAGAGGAAGGAGGAGGAGGGAAGGGAGGAGGAAGAACGGAGGAGGAGGAGAAGAGAGGAGGAGGAGGAGGAGAAGAAGAGGAGGAGGAAGGAAAGAAGAGAGGAGAGGAGGAGAGAAGGAGGAGGCAGAAGGAGGAGGACGGAGGAGAAGAGGTAGGAGGAGGAGAGAAGGGAGGAGGAAGAAGGAGGAGGAGAGAAGAAGGAGGGGAGGAGAGAAGGAGGAGAGAGGAAGAGGAGGAGGAGAAGAAGAAGGAGGAGGAGAAGGAGAGGAGAAGAGAAGGAGGAGGAAAGAAAGAGGAGGAGAGAGGGAGAGAAAGAAGGAGGGAGGAGAAGAAGGAGGAGGAAGAAGAAGGAGGAGGAGAAGAAGGAGGAGGAGAAGAAGGAGGAGGAGAAGGAGGAGGAGAAGAAGGAGGAGAAGAAGAAGGAGGAGAAGGAGGAGGAGGAGGAAGAGGAGGAGGAGGAGGAGAAGGAGGAGAGGGACAAGAACGGGGAAGATAATTTATTGAGGGGTTTGGCATTGACAGCCCGCCCCTTCCCTGTTCTCGGATGTTCTCTAGGTTCTGGAATGGCCAACTGTCAGGGTTGTTAGATAAATATCCCTAAAGTAGATTCATTGTAAAAAAAATGGATTCTTAAGTTATGAATACCGATCCTGCATTAAATCACAGGGTGAAACTGCAATGCATAGGTAACTAAAATATTGACATTTATATTTTTCTCTTGTCTTTAGGTACATAGTTACAAATGTAACCAAAAATACCCTAAAAAATAGGAGGTTTATCAAATTTGATCAGTACAAGAATTTTCTTCTCTCAGTTGATGATTGGTGAACTTTAAAAATCAAAAATTAAATTTAAATTACACTTAACTCACCTGGATACTAAATGAGGTATGCTACGAATTCAGAACTCTCACAAATTTAATTAGCATTCTTATATGTTGCATGTATTTCTGACATAAGATTGGCATAATTTTCTGTGAATAGTTAATGCAATTATAAAGATTTAGGAAAAACAAAGAATAAAATTACACATGCACATTAACAACATAATAGATTAACAGTTTTCACAGATTAATTCAATTAAGAAACATAATTGAGAGTTAGGTATGCTATGCAAGAAAAAAAAAATTATACTCAACAGTTTTAATCCTTTCAATTAAACAATATAACTAAATTTAAGATCAGAACATTAGTTTAGACTT